ACCTTGCCCTCTGATCTCATCAGGCTTGGGAAGCCTTACATGAGAAGGATTAAAGGCTCGCTGTCATACCTTCCATCGTCTTCTAGCATATTGCCTTTTGAAGTTTTCCATGTTAACAACAGATGCTTGCCGAACCAAAGCCTGCCGCTTGTCCACTGGCTGGAAGATAAGAGAGCAATTTTATTGCTTTGCTTCCGTTTGGTACATAAAATATGTAAGGTTGTTCATGTGCTCTGGAGCTGGCTGAAAAGAATGCTGGCTGGGGAAGCTGTGGATTCATACAAGTAAAAGCAGAAGAAAATTAAATAAATCTAGTCCACCCTGTGTCTGGACAGGACCCCTTTAATCTTAAACAAAATCCCAAAACTAGTGTACAGGCAGTGGTCACACTTGGCCCTGCACACAAGGTTGTTCTGAAAAGTTCCACTGGTGCCCCTTTCTAGCAGCTCGACCTGGCACAGAAGGCGTATCACATGGCACGGACTTTGCTCCAGCCTCCACTTCTCCCTTCTGCTTCACAGTGATCCACGTGAAAAACAAAGGAAGTCTGGGAACAGCTTTTCTGGCCAAAGGACAGGATGAAGGACAGTTAAACAACAGAGATAACTAAGGGGATGCTAGAGGGTGTTAAGGCAATGCTTTCACTTCATAAAGTTGCTAAGGTGCTTCTCAGTGCACACCTGCACCATCTCCATTTTCTCTGCTTTGAGCTCCTATCAGCTGGCCTTTACTCACATCTCCCTTTCTGAAAGGCATTGGGAGAGTAAGGAAAAGGTTCCACAGCAGTCTGACAGAACAGAGTAGGAGCTGTTGTCAGTGCATGAACAGCCCTGCAGCACGCTGCTGCTCAAGGGTTTGCTAGGAATCATGACACAACAGGACTAAACCCAGCATCATCACACTGTTAGGGGCCATGCTACCCTGTAAACCTTCAGATAGAAGATAGTCACATTTTGCCCATTACAAGGATATTTTTAAACCAAAGACACATTACGGCCCTTTCCTGACTTCCAGCATGTGGCTCTTCATTTTATTCTAGCACATCTTTTCTGAATTGTGCTTTTACAGGTTTTTCTTTTACTAGGTTGATTTAAACATCATAGAAGGAAAGAATACAAAAAAGTTGTGCTGTGCTACAGAGACTTCAAAGTACATGGGTAAGTTTGAGGCAGTCATTTCAGATGTGAAGAAGGAGAAATGTGAAGTCATGTGAATGTGAAATACAGAATAACTGCAGAAAGCTGTACTCTACAACCCAAATATTAACATAGTACCAGAATATCAGCTCTTTTCCTACGTGTCACAAAGCTGGTCAATAAAACCCTGTCTGCTTCTCAAAATCTCAGGAAGGTTCAGGTAACTTGCCACTATGTGTAATCTTCTGCCATTAGCCTGAGATTGACAGATCCCAAGCAAAATTAGAACATGGCCCAGGAAAAGTAAATCCATTACCAGCTTTGGTCAATGCTGGACTTGCCAGGAATCACAGAATGGTTGAGTTTGGAAGGGGCCTCTGGAGATCATCTAGTCCAACCCACTGCTCAGGGAAGGGTCAGCTACTGCAGCTGGCCCAGGACCATGTTCCACTTGGATTTCAAAGGATAGATACTCCACAACCCCTCTGGGAAACACATTCCAGTGTTTGACTGCTCCTTTAGTAAAAATTTTGTTTGCTTTTTTTTTAAGGTTTAAATGGAATTTCTTTATTTCAATTTGTACCCATTGCATCTTGTCCTGTCATTGGATACCACACTAGGGAGAGCCTGCCTCTGTTTTCTTTACTCCATTCCACCACACATTTATAGATTGAGAAGATCCCACTTCCTAGCCTTCTCTTTTTGACACTAAACAATCCTAGCTCTCTCAGCCTCTCCCCCCCTCTTTGACAGACACTCCAACCCCTTAATCATTTTCACAGCATTCCATCAAACTCACTCCAGTATGTCCTGCTGACGTCACCATAATCAAATGGGAGAACTTCCGCTGTCATTTAGCATTAGCGATGAGGACACATGCTATCGAAAAAACTCAGGCTTTGTCCTTTAACCATACCCAGCGTGTGAGAGACAAGACAGAGACCCTGGCAATAAATCTATGAGGAAAGAATAGCAATACCTGAGTACGGAAATATAGGAACAAAAAGAAAATCTATATCAGAATTCAGACATGTGCCTAAAATTTTTGTATGCTACTCTGGTGTTAAGGAACGGATGTTCCACTAACCCTGACACAATCCTCCTGAAAATGAAGAACCTTTCAACTCCAAAACCACATTAAAATTCTCATAGACCAGAAAACAGTTATCAGACAGACTGAGGGAAAAAAGTTTAAAACCAGATCTGGTAAAAGTGCAAAGAGAAAGGCCAGGAATAAACTCTTCAAACGTTATGGAGTTTATGGAGTGACAACCATTCCAGCAGTTCTGATCTGCAAACGTAGAAGGTGGATAACCCAGAAATATTGATACTGAACGGGACTGCAACCAAGCCAGACACCTGAAGAAGCAAGAGTACCAAAGGAGAACGGCAAACACACCAGTGAGGATTTAAACTTTGTTTTCCAGCAAAATAACTGATAATGTTTATGAGACAATAAATTCACTTTTTCAATCAAATGCCATAGGTATAGCATTTGTACAGGTATCTCAGTAGTAATTCAAGGAGCCAAGCTACCAGCTAGGCCTCTTTCCCCTTTGGATGTACACGTCATTTGCATACAACAGAACTTCGATATTTAGGCAATAAATATCATTTTCTCATGCTGCAAGTGGTGAACATGGTGCAACAAAGCACTGAGCAGACATCAATTTGAAGTGGAAAAAATGTCACTGGCTAAATGCCAGCTGTACAATCATCACAAAACATTTCTGAGTGCCCTTTCAGCCATAGAAATATCGCTAAATCAAAATAGCTCACTTTACAATACTTCAGACTCTTAATAACTGCCTCTCAATTTCTAAGTAGCCTGCAAACCAGTGCCCGTGTCATTTTCTCAGTCATCAGAATCTCTTCTCTGAAGCAGTGTGTCAGTGACCTCCTTCAGCTCAGAGAGCACTAGCCTCAAGGACTGAGTGACAACAATATCAGCCTCACCAAAACACGCTCAGGAACAGAGTGGCCTCATTTAATATTCCTTCTCATCATGCCAGCACATTTGTTTACAACGAAAATCTACGTGAACAGAGAATATGAGATCATGGCTGAGGGAAGGCAGACTATCTTTCTGGAGATACTCTTCTGCAGATATTAACTCTCACTAAGCTTTAAATAACTTTTTAAGAATTAATACTCTCTCATAAAAAAGGTCCTGTGTTCCAGTTTCCCTGGACAGTGTCTCGTGGGTATTCCAGCTCAAAGGAACCTGCAGAAGTGACAACTAAAGCACTCAGAGAATAAAAAATGGACATATGTAAAATCCTCAATACCATTTGTCACCCTAATTCTCCTCAACCATCAATATCAGCTTCCTATGGACATCTCCTGGGTATCTACACTACTTTGAAGCTTTTGAAAATTTTACATTTTGCGCAAAGGAAGATGTCACAGAGAGCACATTCAATTTCCATCCTCCTCCGAGTACAATGACAGGAGTAACAATACCTCTACTCAATAATTGTTTTCCGAACTCTGAATTTTCACCAACCTCTGCATGTCTTTATGAGGATATGGCAATGATGGGCCCACTGGACTCTATACAAACTGAATGCTTTTATCTTTTTATCTCAAAGTAGGAAACATTATTCTTAATAATGTTATGAACTACAACAGTTCAATTTAGTTAGCTCATTAACTTCTCTGGAAGAGGAGGCGGGAGGCTGGGCAGTGAAAGACATACTCTAATATATATATATGTAAAGATCCACTCTAAATGGACTTGAGCAGTGATGCAGGGGCACCTGCAACTCCTTTCAGCACACAGAAGCAACAGGCAACTCTTCTCGGTACACAGAAGCTTGACATCCCTTTTTCAGTCACTAACTACACCATCAGGAAACAACTGCATCCTGCATAAATAACTATTTATTGTGTCCAAAACCGAGATGGGTACATCTATGTGTATTAACACAGTATAATCAAATTACTTCTTTGAAATACAACACAGCAGGGCATGATTCAAGTTTGAGGCCAACTTTTACTTTCTAAAATGTAAGAAAAAAATCTTCACAGCAATAACACTACTCTCAAATCCTACATCTTCTTTACTGTAGAAAGCAATCCAGGGGTCTACATTATCAGTTATCACTCACAAATTAATATTTGCAGTCTAGAATTACATACAGTTATTGATCAGTTCATTAAACGTTCTCAATTGTGTCTTTTGAATAGCATTTCTTTGGTGTAGGATAGGAAACAGCTGTATGTTAAACTGAAGGATTAATCAACAGCTAACACCTTTGATGGTAAAAGATTTCAGTCTGTATAACTGGCCTAAAAAAAAGTCTTTTCTTATCAGCAGCCATTTCACAGAGTTTCCACAGTGCTGGCTAAACATTAAATTACTAAACCATTTACTTTGTTTTACAGGACAGATTTAACCCTCACAAGTATCTCTCCCATATGGTCTGTAGAACTGCCTGCAGCCGGTCTCCACGACTGCTTCCTTCATTCAACCAAAGATGCTATAAGGAGATTTTTATTGGTTTCCAGGCACCTGGCTTCTAGGAAGTACACTGACCTAGTCTTCATCCCAAGGTCATCACTTAGTAACCTCCAGGACGGTAATACTGTGATGAAGTATGATACAGGCTATAGGGTTAGATGTGCCCATACCACTGCGATCATCCAGTTCCTGTAAGTTCAGACACTGAACACGGGGGAGAAACAACTTCAACACTCCAAACCACCAGAAGTTTATAGTTTTGGTCAGCATCTTGGGCAATACATCAGAATTTCTATTTCAGTTGTAGGTGATGTTTTGTGTACAACCTATGCACTGAAAACTTTTAAACTGCTGTACACTGAAACAGGGAGCAAACCCTGAACCTAGCCTGATCTATAACATTACTGATTTGCATCTGCTACATCAAGATTCAACCCTGCAAGGAATTCTTCACAGCGAGATCTATTTAACAGCTCCATTAGTGATTCATTAATATCTTTGTTGAAAACAGAGTCAAAGTTTCCATTCACACAGGCTTCATTTTCCAGTTGAAAGGTACTCATTAAATCCTGTATCCACTTGAGTTCCTCAGAAAGTTCTTGACTGAGAGATTCATACTGACTCTGCAGATCATCGTATTTTCCAGTTATGCCTGTAAGACTAGTGCCTACAGTCTTGATATCTTCTTGTAGATGTCTTTTCTGGGATTCAACTTTACGGTATTCATACTTCAGCTGAGAGAGCTTGTGCCTCACGCTTTCATTCTCTTCTTTATACCAAGCTTCTTTCTCATTATAAATGGAAACCAGAGCATCAATGTCCTCCTGCAAGGAATCATGGGATGCAGCCAAAGTGCTGAAACCCCGTTCCATAAGTGAAATGTCTTCTACTACCCGGGCAAAGCGCTCAAAGTTGATGTAGGTATTATTGGGAGGCATACTCGAATGGCACTTGATGGTGTATTCTCTCAAGCGTTTTGTTTTCAGCTGTGTGTTCTCAACCTTCTTGTTTTCTTGGACTTTTGTTTCTTCCTTCAGCTGGTGAGTCGTCAGACAGAGGAACCAATATTGGTAAATGGACATTTATAAGCCAATGCAGTAATTCAAAAACTCTGTACAAAGGATGCAGCCTGAACTTCCACAATGCTGGGAGATCCTTTGCTCCCACAGATTCCGATTCATGCATTTGATTAAAGGAAAGATAAAAAAAACAAACACACAAACCCAAAACAGTGTGACAATGTGAGAAGTGATGTGCATTCATTCCAATATGATAAGTGTAAAGGGCCACAATTTTCATATTAATTTTTAGCAGTTAACAGTCTCAAATGTTTGTAAGAGGAAAAGCAACAATCCTGAAAACATTCCACTTAAAGTTTTGTGCGATGCAAAGCAAAAACTAAATTTCAAACATCACGTAAGTCATGCTGAGATTAACTAAATGTATTTTCAATAAGACTTATCCACAAAAGCAAGGACTGTTTATGATGAAAAAATGCATACAGACACACGAACTAATCAAATCAGCACATTCGGTACAGCATTTGTATCTTAAGAGAAAGTATATTTTCCACATTGGCTGTAGTCAACACTCAACCCAGGAAAGCACCAAAACCAACATGTAGTATATGTCCATGCAAAGGCGAAAAAGGATGGAAAAAATGCAAAGCCCAGCCTAACGCAGGGTACTGTAACATGCAGCAAACATTAAAGCTTTGTCACCCTCATTCTGAAAGTTATGATAGTAAGAGAAGTAATTTGCAGAAATCCAAGGATTTAGTCAGACCCAACCAATTTCTTCCCAGTACATCTCTTTGAGACACCTAGGGTCATTAAGTACTTAGAGGGCAGTTTTCCATTTAATACACCAGTAAGAGTGACAATATAATCTCTGCTTTGCTCATGGTAAAAAACAAAATCTGTCTCTCTATTCAGTCTTACCGTTATCCATGGATGAGACAGAGCTTCCTGAATTGTAAGCCGTTTCCTAAAAGACAACACAAAAAACCCCAAAGTCTTGAAAGAGAAATATCTGGTACACAGCTCCATTGACCCGCACTTCTCCCAGGCTTCATATGAAGCATTTATGAAGATAATGGCAGGACTAACTCTCAGATTTCAGGGTTATGTTTTCTCCATGAGGCCTACTGCTTGTGAGCAGTCTAGTAACTGTTCTAAGTCTCAGTAAGGATCTGTCTTCACTCTACACAATTTTAATTCTTAATCAAAATCCACCTGTATTTTTGTGTACCCTTCCATGAAAAGTGCTAAAGCATTACTTTGTTTTGTTCATCCTACACGCTTAGAAAATACGTTCATTCTGGGTACCTTTAAAATGACTGTGTCTGAATCAAAGTATACAACATTAACCATAGCAAAATTGTCCTTTGGAGCACGGTATGACATCACTGCAAGAGCTGTCATTTCCCAAAAACAACATTTCTGAGAGGAATACTACAAACCTAACCAAACCTGATCAATCTAACTTCCTCCTGCATTGCAGCAGCTCAGTGAACAGCACATCAGGACCACTGGGAATCCAAGGTAGAAACACAGCAGTGCACAAGGGCTGCCTCTGTACATGGGGCAAATGACATATAGTATCACTGACTGCTCCTTTCCTTAAAGGTTTCTAGACATGTGCAAACCTCTCATCAAACCCCACCTACTCTAGCCTGTTCTAAGGCCTGAGGATTTGCAGAAATCTTGACATAACATCTTGCCCCTTTCTCTCCAATATCTATTTTCTCCCCTAATGAAGCCATTAGAAAGAACTGCAATAACCTGACTTCCCTCCAGGACAAACAGTGTTACGGAGAAGGAGATGCTATTCTGCGTGTGCTTTACTAGAAGCAAGAAAAGCTAACAGAAACTCTGTGGTTCCTATAAACTGTAAATAAAGATCTGCATAGCTGTGACACAACTTCTAGGTGATTCCAACAGATGCAGAGCAGCTTGAGAAACAATTCCATGATGAGCATATGTGAAGGTTTTTCTGCCCTAGCACTACTGGGAGCATATTCTGGCATCACATCACCTCCGTACAAGTAGTTCATAATAGACTGAAATACCAGAGTGGTAGCTACCCTGAACTAGGTATTTTACACACTGTTTTCAGCCCTTCACCTACACCCTATCACACCAGTTTGACTCAGGTGAGAATTCAGTCCTGAAAGCAAAATTTAACTGAGGAGATTCGGTTCCTTTTCTTAGGGTTTCTGAGTGTAGTGATTAACTAGGGGCACAGCAGCATCCTCCTGTCTTGCTCTTGAATAGCAATACACTCCGCAAAGAAAGCTTTGCAGATTATCAGTCAAGCTACGTTTTGCCGGGTTTATATTGGAGACAAATGGATCTTTCTGAATTTTTACTCACCGTGTATCTTTCACTAGAAGTTTCTGAATAAAATCTTTTGCCAGGTCACTGGTATTACTGAAAAATTCCTCATCAAATTCATAATTCACAGCGGTGATGTTGGCAAGTGTTTCCTGTTTAGTTTCTCCAAGGAAAGGCGATGCACCACTAAGCCTAGATAAGCCAGAAAGAAGAATCAGAAAAATAAACTGCAGAGGTCCCCTAATGAAATTACAGTGACTGTGTAATTCCTTTAAAATCTCAGGACATTTGCAGATCTCATGTTGTAGCAGCAATGCCACATGAGAAATAACAGGTCCAGCTTTGGCTCACTGTATCTGTGCTTCTGCGTCAGACTCATCTTGAAAGTCTCTAGTGCAGCACTAATGTGTGCGCACAGACAGAAATGCACATTCTCCTCTCTTAAGTGTCTCACTGAAGTAATTGCTAATCAAACTAGTAAAAGCTTCAGCTGAAGAGAGTGTTTATCCCTGTGAACCCACAAACTCTACCAAGCAGAAGCTTCTATTGGCTTCAAGCAGATAAAGTAGCATTTCTAAAGATTTTCCTTAGGTAGGAAAAATCCTGCCCCTACTGCTTTTCTGTCTGCAAAGCGACTAACAATTTCCTTGCACAGTGGGTTCAGCCAAGAGACCTTTCTCAGCTGGAACCAAGATACAGCGTGTGATCGGAAGTCAGGTGCGTGGCCTTGCCTGGGGCCAACTCCACCACAGAGACAGGGCCATGCTGCTCATTAAAATGAATCCACGAACAAAAGGACTTTGGCTGCAATAAAATCCAACTGTTTCTGAACAATGCAAACCTTCATTCTGTTGGCACTCTGCTCCAACTGCAAGGATATAATGGAGGCATCATCATAATAAAATGCCATTCAGCAGAGAAAAAGCTTTGCTATCTCTCAGCTGTGACTGATGACCTTTATCTTTGATTACTACTTACCTCTGCCCCATAAAACCCAAGTGTCAACACAGATTCACTGCAGACTCCCTCTGACCTGCCTTCCCTCCCCTTCCTCCCTCCCCCAGTCCACAGCGATGCTGACTTTCAAAAGCCTGGTTTCCAGGAAATGTTATTTATACCAAGGAAATTGATCTCATTCCTTTAAAAAAAATAATCTTCTGGGCTATTATTATGCTTATCTATTATGTCTAGCTTTGATAGCACAGCTTCAGGATGCAGCAGGCTCAAAGCAGGACTGCAACAAACTCTGAGGTTTTGAATACTAAACTGCTTGCTTACATGATCCTGCTCAACAGACTTTTTACTCTGTCTGTATTGCCACTAACCCGCTGACCAGGATTTTGGGGGTGAACAGAAAGTGAGATGGGACCACCTGGGCCATTCAGTCCAGTCTGCAGCTACCACATGTTCTATCCACAGAATAAACACTTGAGGTCTCAAATCCTAAGCCCTAATGAAAATGTCTTTTGCCGTATCTAACAGCATACCTTAGTAATAAAGGCTTTGCCCTTGGAACCCAGTGAATCATTCTGCTGGTTACTGAATTAAGGACTTGTACGCATTTTGATCTCTACACCCAATGGTGGTATCCATTTGATTACTGCCATGTTTGCTAAAGTATGTGGTATCACTAAACACAACCCATTTATTCAGAATTCTTCAGAACAAAAGGCTTTAAAATTAACAGGTAATACTAGTTAAAAGCATACAAATTTCTACTATGTATCGTATCATGCAAGCTGCATCCTCCCATCATAAAAAGCATGCTTTTTTCCTGATCACTTGTAGGGAGACAATTTTCAACCTTAATTACTGTGGCAACCATTACTAGCCAACCAAGTAAACCAGATTTTTGGATACAGTACAGAAACCTGCTTCATTACGCTGCTCCCAAGACAGAACCCTCAATGCAACAGAAAAACCTTGAGAGCACCTGGCTGTGTATCACTGCATTTGCATGGTGAATATTCCCACCTGCTTATCCTCCACTCCTAAGTTTTCCTCTTATCATCTTTGAGCACACAGAAACAGCAATTTACTAAGTTTAATGTCCTGTCAAGTACACGTCACCAAAGACCAGAGTGCTGATGAAAAGCAAGGGTCTGGACAATGCTCTAAACCACCTAAGCTTAGGCTCAACCAGTATCCCTATAGGTTTTTCTGCACCACAGGACAGAAGGGAATTTGTTGCACTGACTCTGATTTCTCAGACCATAGCTCTTTCACAGCTCCTGGGGTCTAGCCTTCGGTATAGCCCAAGAGTGGATTTGATTCCACTACATTTATTTTCCACACTGAAAGGACAATCCCTTCAAGCCTCCATACTTGTGCTAAGCTCTGAGCTTTGTAGTGTAAATCCCTCTAATACCAGAGTGCACCTTCTGTGAGTTTGGCAACAAGTTTGTCCTCTGAGTGTCATAAGGAACAGCATAAGCCCAGGGTAGGAATGTTAGGGTGAGACGTTTCCAAGCATGCAGTATCCATGCACTGCTCCCCAGCATTGTCACAGGAGCTTGATTTCAGTGGAAGCAGTTTGGTCCAAGGAGCCCTGACCACTTCTGTCATTCTCATATCAAACCAGAGGAAAGAATTCTTGAAGCAACAAGTGCTGTCCCTCCATTGCATGCACGTGTTGTCACACGAGCAGTTTCACAGATTGTCAAGCTCCATCTTAAAACTCCCCTGACTGCTTGTCCTCTGGATGCCCAACGAACCTCATTTCTTTGAGAGCTTGAGCTCGTAATAATTTTCTACTTTTATGTATTTGTCACTTTTTGACACACTTTTCTTCTAAAAAGTATCTTTTTTTCCCCTTGTGCTTACTGACTGCACTGATATTCCCAAGCAGCCTTTGCTTTACTAGCTTTAGCACGCCCTTTTTCCTCCTTTAAGATGAACTCTCATTTCCCAGGGTCAACTTCTCTGCTCCTATCCCATCTAAAATTCACCTTTTTGAATATGGGGGACCATATTTATACATAGTAATCCAGACTGCTGCCTTCACAAGCAAATTAAAACTTCCCTGGTTGCACCTGAAATAACCCACCTTGTAAACAGCACTATCACACTTTTTGTTTCTATCCTCTCCACACACTTGTAGCTCACAGTCATTCTCTGAGCAACCAATACGCTTGGGCTTTTCCATCCTCTACCATTTGGAACTGATAAGATCCCATAAGAAGAGAAATGCCCAGTGATGCCAGAGGCATTTGTTCTTCGTCTGCTCAGACTGCCCCTCTTCTTTTACCCTGGAAAGGCTGCAGGGTAACATTTGCTCATTAGACAGGCCCCTGCCCCGGTGGGTGGTTTGTCTGCCGAAGGAGTGGGCAGCTGCTTTCTTAAATGACTGAAGGGAAGAGCCGTTCCGTATGAGTGCAAGAGAGCTTTAGGAACACTTCTACAGAAGTGAATCTGTGGTACTCACAGTATGTAGGTGATGACTCCTATGCTCCTAAAAAACAAAGGAGATTAATTGCAGGGGTTCTACATGACCTGTATTCTTCTTAACATACACAATATGGAATAGTCAATAGCAACTGCTGTACAAGCAGGAGAGCCATCATGGCTTGAGACACTGCTGAAATACCTTGTAACGAACGGTTTTTCAGGGAAAACATGAATTTTGCATCTAACCTCAGGTAATGTGGATATTTGAAGTCTCCTTATGTATTTTTTAGTCTAGCCAATATTTAGTACAGTACACATCAGAAATACAAAGAAACAGAAGCAAGGATGTTTTATTTGGGGTGACCTGCCTGCCTGCCTTCCCAGCAGATCACATTAGTACGCAGGTCTCTTCTGCATGAAGTGCTCTTATAAATAAAGCTGTCACAAACGCTGCAGGAACATCTTTTCTTTTAAGAGTGCTCCTCTGCAGTGGACAGTGGCAAACTGTTAACTCCATAACTGCCATCAATATAGTTTTTCACTGTATTTTTGCAGAAAGCAAATGCTTATCTTTCACTTAAAAGGAATGCACAAAAAATGGAAAGACAGCACAAAGAGTTACTAACTGCACTTAAGTTCTTTGTTTTGTTTCTAATTTTTTGCAGTACAATGGATTCTATTCAGAGCAAACGTGAAAAAACAATAACAGAGCAACCTGGGGAAAAACAAACAAACAAACCAACCCACACCACATTAAAAACTTACCACATATCTGCAGCTAGTCCAAGCGGTTCATAGTTTACTATTTCTGGAGCTGTAAGAAAAATATAATCAAACACCAGCAACTGAGGTAACAAATTTTCACCAGGCTGAATTGAGTAGCAGGTCAACAATTACCAAGAGGGAGAAAGGATAGCATGCACTGTTAATAGTTTATAGCCCTAACAGCAATTCAAATTCACAGGTATCCAGAATAGATTACATAGAGTAGCTTGGAGCATAATACAACTCAAGAATAAGCGTAAAGATGATATTATACACTAATTACAGTGCAAATTGTAACAAATAATAAATTATATCACCTCCCAAGGATACTGTTACCCCTAGAAGTCTGAGCTTTTGTTTTCTTTTGAACTGGTGCCATTAAAGCTCATTTCGAGCGGCCAGTCAGAAACAGCCCTTGGGCAAAACACTGACATTACATGCCAGACTACACTGCTACTCATGTCAAACCCTATTATCTTTACTTGAAACATTTCCTCGTTGGAAAACATCTCCATATGAGATTGCATGCAAGAGAAAAGACCAAGGTGAGGTAGGGAGATTAAAAAGGTGTTTGTAACAGTTGTGCTTAACTGGAATATGAATTACAATTCTCTCCCTGCTCCCCAAAACCTCTAGTTGAAACTAGTAGAAAGGAGTAGGATTAACCAAAAACCCATGCCAGACAAATTAGAATTATGATCAGTAATAAAAAGAGAATCACGTGAGAAAATGTAGGGGGAGGCGAGGGTTTTGTACTCAGCAGGTGTACAGTGTGAGGCAGTTTTATCCAGAAAGCAGTGACAGAGATTCCCGTGTAATTGTGTACTACAATGCAGAGAGCTTACTTGTCACAGGCAGCGTAAAAAATTGTAATTTTTATTTGCAGGATCACACAATCTCAATCCTGAATTTACATCTCTGAATATATATTTGGCAGCAACATGCTCTCACAGGAGTAGCACATCTGGTTTTTAGAAAGCACCTTTCGCCTATTCCAGAAAAGAAAAGTAAACCTCTAGATTTAGGTCAGCTTCATACAAATGAGATTGAAACTACCTCTATCCCTCACTTCTTAACTTTGAAAAGATGTCTCAGCTTCTTCATGGAACTCGCAGTCCGAGACAAAGGAACGGGTCACTCACCTACAAATTCTGGAGTTCCAAAAATGTTTTTAAATTCAACTCCATCTTCTATTTCATGCGCCAGGCCGAAGTCAATGAGTTTGATGTGTGGAATAGGGATATTCTTGTCTAGAAGCATAATGTTTTCAGGCTAAAAGTAACAAAAGATAGATCTTTGTTATTATAATATTAATATCTTGGTAAAGTAACAGTTCTCAAATGCTTTTTTATCTTCACATATACAACACTGTAAAACAAGAAACACATATCTGTGCCTAACCATTTACAATTCATTCTTTTGATAAAGGGATGACAACTGTGAAATTTGACATCATTGAATGGACCAGCATTTCATAAAAGCAAAGCAAATCTAATTAGAGTAATACTTTTCTTTCTTTTAATTTTATCTCATGCAAAATCTGCCTTTCTCCATCTTTCTGTTAGCACTCCTAAGTTTATTTTCGTGATGATGGCTATTGCCAGGATGAAAACATGATACCCTTGTTTTCACAACGAGCCAGAAGTTTTTTACACAACTGTCTGTACTTCCCTAATTTGACAAAATATGCCACTAGATTATCGGCCCAGCAACACTGTGATATAACACAAAGGTGAAGCTCAGTTTATCTTGTCCTCTCAAACCAGAAAATATATCTCTGGCCCGCAGGCCCTCCTGGGAAGATGTCACATGCTGACACCCTGGATTTCCCTCAGATACAACTGGCATACACACAGCAGCAGCTAGCAGGTAGCTGAAGCAACGCAGAGACAGAGTGCCATTGCTTGATCCTGAGGGACTGCTGCATCACTGAATGTTTTGACTGATAGCAATTTTACTCATCTGTTCTTGGACTTTACATTGGGAAACCTCACTATTTCTGCCCAGTTGTCTCTACACTGTATTCTAACCCACTGGAAGATGTCTTATTATGTGCCTCTTGAGGGATTCCAGTCACATCTGAACCTACTTAGGGAAGGAAAATGCTCTTCTCTATGACTGAGTTGATAGCTGCAACAACAAGGCCAGGAAAGATTGAGGATTTACTGAACAGTCCAAAAAATGCAATGGGTTGGGATCAGGGGTTCTAGCTCATATATGATAGCAAGCTACTGAAAGAACATGTAGCATTTCTCACAGCACTGTGGGGAAAAGCTGAAGCTAGAACTGTGAAATTAAAGCTAAGTTTTCAACCACGGACATTGATTTTCTTTACCAGACATAATGGATATTTCATAAACTTACTTATTCAACTACATTTCTCAGCTTTAGTTACTCCCTACCATGGCCCTATTTCACAGGTTTCCAAGTAAACTATGGGTTCAATTTATCTCCCATAAAGAGGTTTAATGCACTAATTTGTCATAACCTAATCATAAGCTCAAGAGCAACAGTGAGGCAGTTTGATTCCCGGCTGGCAGCTGCCTGGCCTTTTCACAGCAGATCCTAACGTGGAAGCAGCTCCTGCTAACACACGCTCTCAGTCAGCGCTGCACTGGGAAAGGAGGATATGAATAATTTATTGTCATAGTCATTGGACCAAGAATATTTTAGCCTCAGGCTAACAAGTCTGTTTTTATTCCATGGATCTAGGGCATATGTGTTCATCCCAGACACATGATGTAAGCTTGTTTAGAGCAGACAGAACAGGTTGAAACGGCAAAAAGTCACAGTCACTGCCTCTTGGACTGTTTTATTCCCTAGGTGGTATAAGTCACTGTAGCTCCACTGTAGTCAATGGAGCCCTGTCAAGTGACAATATAATTATGAATCATCCTCTATCTAATCAGATCACTGCTTAAAAATACATGTTTAATTTAACACTAGCAAAACTCCAAAGCCAGTCCTTTAAAACTCAGGAGAGTTATTCTGTAAATATGTTTTTGGTCATTTGATATTCATTATCAGTGAAATGATTCTTTACTTACCTTTTATGATTTCTATCTTGTATTTCCTGTAAAATCTTCATTGACCACCTAACACTACCGGTATTAAGTATCAAAATTAGTAGCTAGACATCAGTACAGAAGAAGTTGCACCTATATTCTCACAATAATTTTATGCCACTGGATATTATACTCTTTTCTAATGCACAGTGAAAACTTTCGGTCTTTGGCTTCTAGATTCATGTATTAATTTCAAAATCAAGTGCACATCCTTTGTGTGTTCACATATCTACGCTTTTTCACATGTGGATAAGTGCATTTTGAATGTATTTCTGGAAGCAGCAACATTTGAGGCACAATTCAGTGCTACAGTTCTGTAGCTGTGAATCTGCTACTGAGAAAGCCCTTTCTTCAAGTCTGAAGAGTTTCATTCCCAAGGACAACAGACTCCTGGCTTCAAAGAATTAGGTATGCCACAACCAAAAATAGAGAGAGAGTCTCTTATATTCTCTAGGCCAGCTGTACGGATACCAAAGTCAAGGACGATAGCTATGGGTGGCACCTGATATGGTAAGAAGAGAGCTCTGTGTGATGTGCTTTCAAGGCCCTAAGTAAGAAGCCTTTCTCTTAACCAAACAGCCCTGTATGACACATACTCTTCATGTAATTCTAAACACAGTGGGGACTGGAAGCAGCAACAGTTGTTTGTAGCTGGACCTGTCCCTCCTCTTTCTAAAAATGTGTTTCTTCTGTACTTCATTCAGAAGTTCATCATAATTGTTTTTGATGGTTTGTTTCTTTCTTTTTTTTTTTTTTTTTTTAAACAGCATGCTTTGGATGATACCACAAATGCAAGCAGCTGAAGGGTGAAGACTTAAAATTTCTTTTTCTCAGACATTAAATATATAAGCCCATCCAAAAGTTACTATAGGCTTGATAACGAGGATTGTCTTCCTTGGAGCACTCAGCTGTGAAGTGCATTTAAAATGGTCTTAACTACTAAGTTAGGCATGTTATCAAATACAGATATCTAACATACTGTAGAAGGTACAGTCCGTCATTAAAAAACAGTAACAACAGTAAGTCTAAATCAGCATCTTTACCTTTAAATCAAAGTGAGCAATTTTCTTAGAGTGAAGGTAATTCACACCATCCAAAATCTGCTTGATGAATCTCGTTGCTTCCTCTTCACTCAAAGATTCTTTCTGTGCCAGGAAGTCAAAAAGTTCTCCTCCAGAAACCCTGCAAAACACACCAGAAAACATCCTGTTATCCACTGCATTGTAAGACATAAAATAAATAAAGTAGCAAAAAACCTGCCTACAGCTAGAAAAAGGGCACTCTTGCAGACAATCTAGAGTTCTGTGTTCTGGTCCTGCATATGTCAAAACTTCCTCCTGGCTTCAGCTCTCAACCTGGCAAATTAAGGACTAGATTTCCCTAACTCACTGATGCTGCAAGGTTTGGTCATTTATAATCCTCAATGAATCAAAAGAAGGTACATTGTGAATCCACAGACAGGTACATATTTCAATAGGTAGACTTTGATGTTAACCACTTCAACTGCTATTCTTCAACATTTTCACTTCGGATGAGAGGGAGAAAATAGAACAAGTTGTAATAGTCCACAAGTATTAACAAATTACTTCTCTTATTGGTTGCCATCAGAAACACAAGGCAATAAGATCTGCTGACAGAATCTCTTTTCTTTCCAGAACAGCCATTACACTGTTCTAATACAGATTCTTCCCTGACATAACTGACAGGAAAGCATTTTGTTTGTGCTGGATATTTGAAGAAAGCAGATCGTAGCAGGTTGGAAGGTACATAAAACTCTTTTCCCAAATCAAAGAAGTTACTATGAATCTTTACATGAAAACTGAAATACATTCCATGCATATTTAGTACATAAAACTTCTATTTTCATTTTTATGCCTTGTTCTAAGAGCTCCAGTGCTATTTTTCCCCATATTATGAAACAAGATAATCTAGATTTTGAATTGGGCATTGTTTGCAGTTGTTTATGCTTATATTTATTGTTTACAGTTGTCACCATCATTGATATAATTGATTTATTCTCATTCAAATGTACTGTTAGGTGCAACCGCAAGGCGGTTGTTGCTGTTGAGTTCAGGTGTACCACCCATCTGTGCTCACCATGCAGAGTGCAAGCACAAGACCTGAGTGATCCAACATTTTAGAAAACAAGCTTTTGGCCCTGTTGTCTAATGAAACACCTGTAAAAGAACTGACAGGTTCAAATGCTTTGAGGTAACCAAGTGCTGTGACTCACAGACAAGTTAGATCACTCTGCACTGCAGTGGTCTTTCATACAATCATTCCTCTGATCCCAGGCTCCTACACAACACTGGTGGTGACAAGATGGTGGTTCCCTACTCTGCCTCTTCCATAACAAACTACTGTGGACAGCTACAAAAACTGCAAGGAGAAGTCAACAGCAAACAAGAACAATGTGTCAAAAGCCACAAAGACACTGGGTTTTCTCTTAGCTTCTACTGTCGCTGTGGGTGACAACATACCTTATGTTCCAAAGGCAGAGACAGAGGGCCTATTTTTTTGCTCCCACATAGTCAGAAACTTTATGAGCAACAGGACACTTCACCTGGGCAGAGGTCCCAGGTGCTTTAATTGCTACAGCTAAATGGCTGACAAACAAAATTGAGCTTCTCTGACCTAGGAATATTGCAACTGCTGTCTCTGGATGCTCCCTTCTCCATCCTACTAATCTCAGTTACTCATCCTGTGAGACTCTTACTTGATCTCTGATTTTCTTTTCAGGTGACACATACCAAGGGTCTCAGCACTGCCATCAGTATTGCTGGGCAGGCTTTGTTTTACCTTGTGCGCTTCAGGAGCCAGGGAACACTGCCTCCTTTCCTTACTGTAGTAGGTTTAGGGGCCTTGGTTCATTATTTTAAAAATTATTGCAGTTGTCTGTGACAAGCCAGTAAAGAATCTGCAAGTAAAACCTGGTAGTCCCTTGATGAAATCTGTGTACAGAGAGCAGGCAAGACCCATTTCCTTAATGATTTCTATTCAAACTGCACTTAAGCAATCACCTCTGGCAGGCATTATGTCCCAGTCATCAGGAAGCCAGCTGTACTGGGGTACTTTCTTGTACTCTTCTGGAATGTAACCATGTCGGCACACTGTGCTCTCTTCCTCTTTACCTTGTAAAATATCTCCTTGGTAATTATTCCTAAAGGTGGACTCCTTAATCAGGACTAAGAATAAAAAACTTCCCTCCTGGGCCAGACCGACAGCCCACGTAGCCCAGTCTCCAGTCCTCCAGCACCAGCAGAAGATACTGCTGACTGAGAACACTCGAGCTGAGCCACTTCATAAAAACCATTCCCTTCACCTTCTCCTGGCACTGAGGCCTGGCCAAGGATGTGAGTGGATACCTTCCTGCCTGGAGGAAACTGGCAACTTTCTTTTGAGGAATCTCCTTTGCTACACAAAGGAATAGCAGATAATTGTTTAGCCGCCCAGACTGGAGGTACTTAATTCTCTTTCTCTCTTGCTGCTCCCAAGAGTGGGGGTTAGCTGCTCAGGGCACCCCAGGACTTTTGCCCCAACAGCAACCTCAGCAACATCCTGAGCAACCAGCTACACCTAAGGCATCACTGAAGAAACTGTGGAGACTGCAAGAACAAGAATCACAGGAGATTTAATTGCAAGCTCCTTGCAGCATTTTCCCTCTTCTCTCTAGTTCATGCTAACCTTGAATCAGGCTAGGCAGAGGGGACTTCCAAGGTACAGAATACAAAATAAAAATAAAAAAGGAAACCAAAAAAAGATTCAATGTGCAAGGATGGGCAAACCATGCCCTTGCCAAACTGCATGTAACAGCAGCGGACTTGGCAATGCTCTTCCTGCTCTTGAACAGGAGAAACAGCACCTGTAGAATCAACCCCTATGTAAAGAAGAAATAGTCTTGCCTGTGCCAGCATAGTGAGTTTGGAAGAGGGTCAACGTATTAGCCAAACCCTCTTTTAAACACCAGGGCAGCTTCTTCAATTAATCAAAAATACTGGGAACATTCTTTTTAAAGATGAAGTCCATTGTAGCTTAACGTAAGATTAGTTGGCCAGGTGCTGTAACACTTATTTTAATAAACTGCAGGGAGTATGAGACTGATAACAGTGTCAGGAGGAGAGATCATCTGTTTAGAGAGAATTTAATTATCTTTATTAGCAATTATCATAATCCTCAATCTGTATATAGCATCTGAATGCAATGGCTTTAATCAGGTCAACAGTCTTTTGCACCCAGACTTTTAAAAAGTGCAATAAGCAACAGCCTTGACAATAGGACAAAACATGTAGGCCATGTGAGAACAGGAAAAAGCAGAAGGTAATGAAACAGGAGGTTCTTTTAGCACAAAGTAGCTGCCAGTCAGAAAAAGCAGTTCCTTTCCTGTCTTCCAGTGCATGGCTAGAGACACAAGCATTTGGCCCTAGACATATACTTAAAAATTAACAGATGCTTATCATCACTCATATGCCATCTGCCAGCAGTCACATCAATCTCCAGGAATACTCCTTAGCCTAAATGCCAGCTCCCCTGGAAAGCTAGTGGGTATTTCATCTCACTCGGGGATCAAAGCCTGGATTCCATACACAAGGTTGAGACAGGTGCCCTAAGAAACCTATGGTCTACGTAACTTCAGCCATGGTGTCTCTGTATTTCATGCTTCATACATACAGAAAATTTGCATCTATTACTCATTACCTAAAAACTGTAGTAAGTAGAAGCCTCATGCTGTCTCCTTGCTGGCAGCTTTACTTTAGTACCATGAATTGACAGAAAAAGGATATGTCTTCTGCAGAGCTCCTTGAAGACTCAGAGCTCTCTGAACTAGATGATACGGATTCCACAAAAGAGAAGGACACAGCCCAAAAAAAAGCTTAAATTGATCTGTTTCCCTTCACTACATGACAAATTTCATCCCCTTAGGCCAAGACCATAGATTCTGACCAGCAAAACTTCATTTCTGTTCCCGAGTACAAGCACACAATTCTATTCTCTGCTTTGTGTGATAGCGTTCAGCTTTTCCCTGGTTCTCAGTGGAGATTAGGAAGGCTAAGCCACTCAAATACTGCATATGCAAATTTATATCTACGTGTAAGTTAATTTACATCCCTTTCAACTCCTTAGGTAGACCAACAGCACACACTATGAACTGTACAGAAGGAGATGCTTTGGATATAGGTTTGTATGATCATCTGTGCACACAGAGTCACTCACTTCTATTACAGTCCTGATCCTTAGCCATGAAACACCTGGATTGGTAACAAGTGCCCAGATTAATTCAAATTCATTATCCCAGTATAAATTTGGGTATAACACGGTGGAGTCACTTGGTGCCTCCCCTGTTTCATTTCTTGAAAAAGGGAAATAATTTTAGCATGGCAGGCGGTTTTTTACTCAGTAACTGACACTAGGCAACTGCACAGTTTTCTTTAAATTATTCAAACTAACACATCACCATTAACACTAATAAATTTGGGGACATCCAGATTCTCGACTGCGCTCAGCTGCCAGTGCAATGTAGAGGAGGAAGTGACCTTTCTGTGACCTCCCAGCTGCTACAAGTCAAATCTAATATGCATCAGAATGGCTGGCAAATAGCACTGAGAACAGAAAGCCAAACAGCAGCAGCACAAAACTTGCCCCTCCCAGCTTTACAGTGAAGAATTTGAAGGAGTGAGTGACCATCTGCATGGTGCTTACTGGCCAGCTCAACCTATAACACCACAAGAAAGAGGAAAGAAAAATGAAGTGAGCATTCAGTGGCCATGTATGCTTCCTCCAAGGTTCACGTCAGGGCAGCACTAGGCAGACATGAGGTAATCCCTCTTAGTAAACTGTTTTCAAGTTGACAACACTCCCTGGCTCAGTAACAATGGCCTCAACTGATGTTAAGGTGCACCTGTATCCCCAGGGCACATGGATGAACTGGGGGGGGCCTGTTTACCAGCAACCTCATTCACTTCTCCTGCCAAGATCACGAGGCCTGAGAACACAGCTCCATTTTACCAGTGCCTCTACAGCCCCTTCCGGTTCCCATTTACCTCATTCTACCCTGAGGACAGGAAGTGCCCTTACTCACAGCTCAAGGATGAGGACGACATCCGTCTTGTTCTCATAGATGTCATGCAACTTGATGATGTTGGCATGCAGAATCTGCTGCAGAATAGCAACCTCCCGTTCGATTTCCTCACGCCTCACTCCACGACGGCTGGCCCGACTCTGACGTTTCTTAATGAACTTAGCAGCATACTCCATACCGGTGCTTTTTTCTCGACATTTCTTCACTATAGCAAACTGGCCACTGCAGGACAAGATAACAAAAAATCTCTTAAAGCTTTCATATAATCACAGCTTCCCAAATAAGCCATTCATACAGCAACCTCCGAGCTAACACTAGTAGCCATACAAGCTAGTTCTTCGTACAATAGTGAGGACTGTCAGAATTCTGCAGTTAAAGTCACTAGAGCATAACAAGGTAGTCTCCTGCTGTGTCTGAAATTTAGCGAAACCAAGTGTCTGACAGGAAGGGAGGACAGATACTACAATCTCTAAAAACAGTTTGTGTTTAAATGAACAAGATCTGTCTTAAAAGATTCTCACTCCTTTGTTGGGTAACGCTTAAGGCATTCAAGTCTGCAACACACCACTGGATGTTCTGAAAGGACGCGCATGAATTGAAGCATTTCCCTTAAGAACAGGAAAGAACTCAAAGGATTGATAACCCTTTGGAAATGTAGAACTGGCCTCCAGTAACCAATTTTCAAATAAGAGAATGGTTTATTCACATTTCGGACTTCACTTGATAATTTAGCTTTAAGTGTAACTACAGTAGGTGCAGCTTTCTCACTGCACCTCAAGGATAAGGAATTTTCCACTGTACCAAAGAGTGAAGTGGCTTCATTCAAGTTTAAAAGGCACGTAGCTGCCATTTCCCAATACATTTTTCCTCACTGAGGCTCCTAAAGTAAGATTCTAGTCCAGCTGAAATATTTTCCCCTTATTTTCTTAGAGGGAAATGCTTGGAGTTCAGATCATTAACTCAAATAACAGTAAGCCTGCAGGTTGCAGCCTTATGTCAGTGGTGAGAACCTTTCAAGATGAGACAGTTTTTACTGACTCTTCAATGGGAGCAGGGGACCCTGCTTTGTTCTGCTTCCTTTGAGCCTGCCTTTCTTCATCACGCCCTTGAGAGGCACTGCTTGTACTTAGAGAAGGACCATCTCCACAAAGTTGATGTTCCCTCCTTCCCAACTGTCTTCTGGGAAAAAAAAAAACCCTGTAATCAAGTTGAGACATGTTTGAAAAAAACCCCCCTGTAATCAAGTTGAGACATGTTTTATCAAAATTCAGAAAGATAGGTGGCCTACAGCTAAAGCAGGATTTGAGTAATAAGAATTCTAGATACAGCAAGAATATGGAATCCAGAGGATTCTTTTTCTCATCCTATCTGGAAGGGAAAAAGGCAACTGTGTTCCGTCTTAGAAATGTTTAGTCACACTAAAATCATCACAGACGTATGAACAAGGAAATTAATCTTTTACTACCTGTTTGCATGTAGTCTGCACAGAACATGTTAAGAGAGCTACTTCTATCTTACAGAAGTTAAGGAAAAGGATGGTCTGTAGCTGAAGTACTTGGAAGGATTTGAGGGATCTGAATTCTGCCATGAACATATTGTACACCCTTTAGTAATTCACTTTTGCCCCATCAGCAAAACAGGAGTCTTTCTTCCACACAGCCTACGGATACTTGGACATTATTTAGCACAAAAGTGTCAGTTTGCTGCTACTGTAACAGGAACATGAACCACAAACAGTGCTATGCCATGCAAAGTAATAGGCTTTTGTCCAAAGTCACTCCAAAAAGCAGACAAAATTCACACTTCAACAGAAACACATTCCTTTTCATGAAGGATCACTTGGCAGATTTACTTACACACCTGTAGCTTTTTAGGTTTGATTGCAATTTGCAATACTGAAATGCAGCAAAGTGCAGTGGGCATATAGATTTATAAATATATTAACTCCTTAGGTTGATTAATGAAGATAACTTCAGACTAACAAATATTTAGATATGTGAAACTCGTATGGTGTGAGGTTTCATCACAAACTAAATTTCAACTAGTCTTTACTAAAAATTGTCTTGTTTGGATATAAACACTCTCCGATTCTAAAGTTATGCTTATATATTAAAAAAATGAAAGTTAAAAACTGACAGGTAAAAAAAACCCCAAAACCTAGGTTAAAGCACAAAAGCACTGAGGTTAATTATTTCAAAGAAAACTGATGCGGACTCACAGCTCTTCAACTCGAGTAACAATGAGGAGTAAGGATGTTTGGTCTTAACATATACTTAGGTCAGACCAAACATAAATCAGGTCAGTCCACTCCATTCAGGATGAGTTTCATTCACTACTCTCTCTCATTGTTCAATAGGAAGCCTAATATTTTCACTGATTCAGTGAATTCAGTAACTTTCATACAAAGTATTAAACTACATTCATTTTTAAATAAATATGTATGTTCTGATGAGCCTTCTTGTACCTAATGGTACTTCAGAATTTTTCATGACTTTACCTTTCCATAACTGTTAGTGCAGACTTGGACATAATAATGTGTAATGCACACAACAAAATGGGACGCTGATTTCGAGCTGGTGGAAAAACAAGTAGGTAGTGGGGAAGCAGTGGCAAGAACTGGACATAATGATGTGTAACGTACACAATAAACTGGAACACTGATTTTGAGCTGGTGGAAAAACAAGGAGGTAGTGGGGAAGCAGTGGCAAGAACAACCGTCAAGGACAATTACTCTAGTAGCAGCATTCAGAGATTGCATCTCCTAAGTCTGAGAGCAGGCTGCTGCTGGCAAGTCTTGGAGCACTATCTCTGCAATACAATCTACAAGAGTACGAAAGGAAGGAAAGGTTGACTGCTTTTGTTTGGACACTAGTTAAAGGACCCCACAGCTCACCTGAGTACCTCTGAGATTTCAAGTAGCAAGAACAACTTATTACCACCCTAAGCCTCTTCTGCAAGAAACTAAGCTTAGGGTTACTTCTTGTTATTTATTTTTCCACTGCTAGATTACAGGTGAGAATTATCAAACTCACTTCTAGGAGAGGGAAAAAAAAAAAAGACCAGACCACAGAATCCACCTTGCAAATAGGCCATGTATGTACTGTTACAAACACTACCACAGTGGTGAAGCATGCCAGAGAGCTGGAGAATTGAGCCTATGGATAAGGCCATGCACTTCAGTCTGCTTTAAGTGTGCAGTGCCTCTTGTGATAACAGTGCCATGAAAAACTGGCAAGCTCTGAAGACAGATCAGGACCTTCAGTTAAACAGAGCCAGAACTACTGCTTCATGGAAGCTGCCTTTGGTTTTGGCAACTTGGTATCAAAGGTGGGGTGGGGGGTGGGGGGGTGTGGTAAGCAAGAAGAGGCTGTTGGCTGATACCTGCAGAATCTTGGTGATTTACAGGCAAGTAACCTCAGCTCAAATCCACGCTCTGCGTGGATTTTCAGAGTAATTGGAATGAAAACCATGGAAACTTTAAGTCTACCATGTGTACTCCATACCCTACACCAAGCATTCCTCAGTCAGAAAAGGCTCAGGTTTTATCAATGAATATTGGGCAGAATCATACTTCTGACAAAAACATCAAAAACATTCCAAACACGCTCATTAAGTGCAACCCCCTATGACTACTCTGTTGAAGCACTGAGCTGTTACTGTTTTCATTATTATTATATCCTTCACTGGTTTGGTAAATGAGAGATGCCAGTATAGTTAGAATTTAAATTATGCAGAATACACAGCAATTATACTCAGAACCTTATAATTACGTAAGATACTTAGTACTTCATTAACACAGACGTCTGGTTGGAGTCTGTCTGAAACCTACAAAGGCAAAGAAATTAAAAACTAAGCCTATCCCTTGGTGCTCGCTTGCTCTCAAAAGCTCACACTCCAGGTCAAAGGCAGCCTCTTGTTTCAAAGGGTTCAGACAATGCCAGACAGCCTCAAGTACTACTTTTTGGATTTAATTTTCTTACATATCCTAAACACTTCTCAGGAGAGAGGTAGGAACAGATGGGACAAGTGTACTTATCCCTTTATGAATAATCAATCACAAATTGAAGCGACACTGCAGCCATTTGTCAAATCCATTAATTCAGTCACAATTCTGCCTCCTGATTTTACCATTACATACAAACCCCAGAGAACCTGACAATGAAATTCCTGCAAGTTCCCAAACTTGCCTTAAACATTCTGCTAGAAGAGTTTGTTCTGTAGTGCTGGGAGCTGTTTATGTAAAACATCGTGGGTTTCATGGGTTTTCTTGTTTGTTTGTTCATATTTTGCAAGATATGCTTCTTATTTGGTCCAGAATTTCCAAAGAAACATGGTACAGTTGCTGTGTTTGCTTCCTTGAATTCCCTCTGGGGATATAAATTTTGCCAGCAAAGTTCAGGGAGACAATATTATTTTATGACTGCTCATTATGGGAATGAACACAGTCACTTTTGCATTTAAAAAGTCCAACGATACTGTGGACTTTACATTTTTGTTTACTTAAAAGCTTACAAAAATAATAATGACACAGCACAGGGATTCTCATCTCCTTCTGACATACTTACAGTCTGGGGCAACTGTTCATCGCATTACCCCTTCCTTGTAATCACTATTTCCCTCCTGCATGTGTACCCACAAACACATCCTCTACCCACTCCTGTCCCAGTCATTATGCCATTTCCTTTATCTCTTAAAAACAGCCTTTCGTACAGTCTTTACTGAGAAAATTTGTGACTGAGTAGAAGAGGTTGCAAGCCACAAAGAAAGAGATGGATGCAGTTTCTTCATCGAGGCCATTTAGGACCATTACAATATAACTAGCCATGACACCTAGCATAGGGTAGCATATAGCTGTACTTTTCTACCAGGCAGAATGAACAGCTCATGTGACAGCCATAAATCTATGAAAAAAGAGGATGTCTCACTGGTACTTTGCAACCACAGCCAGATGCACTTTGTATTTCTTTTAACTATAGAGCTTGTAGAATCAAGGACCAAGACAACAGCATTTCCTTACCTCCTAATGCGCGTAAGAGTCAACAGCATCAGCTTCCCAAATCTTGCAATATCGACCACGCAAAAAGCAGAAGAAAAGGAAGTATGCGTCTCTGACACAGAAGTTGATAGCACCGAGAAGTAAAGTCCTTTATTTAATTTCACATGGGGAGTCTGTGGCTAATCTTAGACTTGAAACTAAATTTCACAGTTCAGACATCCAAATT